ATTGCGACGAAATTCATAATTTTCAACGTTGAGAATGAAATCCGGAATGTTAAAAGTAAGTTTCCTTCGTTATTAGAAAATAATCTAATACAATTCCGATCTCTTCGTGTTCTGTCCTAGGTTGGCTGAAACGGGGTGTGGAATCGGATCGCGATCGATGCTGGTTGAGAAGGAGAAGACGCGGCTAAGTGGATCGGTGGAAAGGAAAGGAAGGAAGGAAAAGTAAGATAGGCAGGAGTAAGTGTACGGATGGGAGGACACGTTGGAGAAGAGATGACGAGGAGAATAGCAGTTAGGTAGGGATGAATGGTAGGGCGCGTGGGTAGGGTTAACGCGGAAGCGAAGAGAAGCGTTGAAGGGGCGGGAGCGAAGGGTGAGGGTGGGGGCTTCCGGAGGCGCTGTGGACCATGCGCTTTCGCGAAGGGACTTTGGATCCTCGAGGATCGAGAAGAGAGGTGACGGGGCAAAGAAGTGGCAGAGGCGCGAACGTGGACCTGGCCGGCGACGACGACGGTGGGCAGAGAGTGCGGCCGAACCCCGAGTCGGAAAAATCGGGGTGAGATGCACCCTCGCCACCATCCTCGCTCTCAATCGGCCGCGGCGCTTCCACCTGGGAGCACGGCTTCTCTTCCTCGTTAACCGGCTCATCGTCCTCGCCGTTCACCACCGATCTCCACCGATTCTTCGCCTCCCCTTTCGACTTTGTCGTATCGAACCATCTTGAAACACCATAGGTAAGGAATTCTCATCTCTTTGATCGATCTTTACTCTTTACTTTAACTCCGTCTTTAACCTTGATTCGCCTTTCTTCCGGTTGTGTTTGCTTCTTTTTTTTTTTTCTTTTTATTTAATATCTCCGTTGCATTTTGAATTAGCGCAAATCGTGACGAAGAAGGGTTCGAGTAACTTTGGAATAGCTGCTGAGCAATCGTGAATCGTTTTTGAACGAAAGAAGGAAGGAAGGAAGGAAGAAGAGAGAGAGAGAGAGAAAAATGAAAAGTGGCATGATTTAATAATAACAACGTGGCCTGCATCGTTCGTTCCATTCAAAAATCGGTGAAATCTCGTTTTTTTTTTTTTTCAAATATCTTACTTATTGCTTAAATTTCCGTTTGTCTCGTGTTGGATTGCGTTATATCGCGTACCTCTCTAATCGCGGGGAACACGTCAAGTTTAAAGCTTCAGGTCTCGATTCATACTCGAGGCTGTACCCTCATTTCCGCGTGTCGCTCGCAGCCCTTCCTTTCGACTCTCTGGATTCGAACGAAAACGCGGCACGAAAAACCCGTTCTTAACTTTGACATTATTCGCTTTGCGACCGATAAATTTAAATAATGAGGAATCATCATTGTTTATCTTATCTTATTTGACTAATAACTTACTGTTCTAACACGCGCAAAATATGACTTGACGGGAGGGTATGATTTCGATAACAGGCCGAAAGGAAAAGAGTTGCCGGTATCAAGCTCGCGAGGTTAATAGAGCGATAGGTAACAAGGTTATAAAGCAATCTGCATAACCCTGGTTGGTACTTTGCTCGGCTACAGGGGTTGTCCCGTAGCACTGCGAGCGGTCTCGTAATTACCAGGTATAATACGATTACCCGATCGCCAGACCCGCCGTAACCGAGAAGGCAGCTCCTCTCCTTCGAACCCGCTCTTTGCTCCTCCTATTCCTTTTTCCTATCTCTCTTCTTTCTCCTGCCCCCTCTCTTTCTTTTTTTATATCCCTTTCCAATTTTCCTCTCGTGTTTCTTCTCCTATCCTACCTATCCTTTTTCTCTAGTTTCTCTTCTTTTCCATTTTCAGACCATCTCTCTTCCTGCAAGCTATCCCAAATACAAAAAAAAAAAAAAAAGGAATTGGTCAATCCAGCACAGTTCTTCGTGAAACGGGTGTGCATATCCCAGATTCTCGTAAATTCATTTAAACGACGTCACAACTGTAATTTTATTCCGTTTGCATTCAATCGCAACGCGTTTCCACTTCCATCCTTTTCCCTCCCCTCCCTTCCCCCTTTTTATTGCCTCTATTGGCGGATCAGGATCGCAATTTCTCCGTATCGCGTTCTGTTCTGATCGCTATTAAGCAGGGATCTTCGATGTCTGCTATATTTTAGTTAGCGTAGCACGTAACAATTTGCACGATCCGATTTCATTTCGTTTCGACTTCACTAGTCCTCTCCCTTTCTTTCTTTCTCGCGTCCGAACGATTCTCTCTTTTCTTCCTTCCAACGGAACTTGTTCGTTCGTTTTCGTTCGCGAAAACATACATGTACATTTATTATAGAGAGTGTGTGTGCGTAACGATGGTCAAAACTCGCGATAAATATAGATAGGTGCGACGACCACGCCGGCAATGACACGCTCAACGGAACGCAACGGATCGCCTCGACACTTGGTTTAAGCTCGTTATTCCGGCTTAGTGATCGCCCTTCACCTCGCCTCTTCGTCTCGCCTATCTTTCCGCCACGCATAAACATCCCCGATAACATTGGGTGCCCTCGTTCACTTTGAACGGCATAACAGTGTAAACGTTGAACCATTTCAATGCGTGTAAGAGAGTGAAGAGAGAGAGAGAGCAATAACGACGACGACGCGAGTTTATAAAACGGAAAAACGGTTTTTAACGGATAAGAAAAAGTGAAGGAAAAAAAAAGAAAGAATGGAAAGAGTGAAGGAAAGGTGAGTCAAACGCAAAAGAAAAAGAAAGGAAAAAAAGAGAGTGGATCGGTCTGTGCCAAATTTCGAACGATTGGTGGTCGCCGTCGGATACGAGCCAGAGCCGAGAAATCGATCTGTCGTCCAACTTGTTGAGGCGCGAAGCAACAGTTTGCCTTTTAAACGCCTCTCGTGTTCTCCACGATTCCTTGCATCCTCCTCCTTCTTCTTCTCTTCCTCCTCTAATTTTTATTTTCGATTTATTCTCTTTTCAATTCTCTCTCGAATTTACTCGGCAAAGATGTACTTGATTTACGTTTCCGTGGAAAAAGTCGATTACGTTTTAGATAGTTGCGTCGCGATTAATCGCCTCCTTTCGCGTTTGCTGCTACTTGCCACTCTTGGTTAACTATGGAGTTGCGTTATTAAGTTGTCTCGAAGATACGATCGAGCTATTCATTCGGCGGAACTGTGCTATTCCGGTCTGTTCGGTCTGGCAGTAGCGGTACTAATTGCTTCTCAAAGTGGAAACTAACTTTGGGAGAAGCGAGAGAGTTGTCGCGGCGTAGCGGGGAAGTGGGTGGCGCGGGCAAAGGTTGCCGGAAATCCGATCTGACGAACACCCTTTTCAAACGATTCATCCGTTGGACCGGTTACGTATCCTCTCCCGTACTTATCTTATCCCGGATATTCCTCCAGATACTTTTTCCCGTGACAAGTAAAAATTCGAGAATCAATTAAGAATCCATTAACGAAACTCCTCTTTGTTTATTATTTTTTTTTTTCCATCCCTCGAGAATATATAAATTGAACCGCGTCTAGATTTTTCTTTACGTACAAGATTCTCGAAAAAGAATAGAATAATTTAATTAAAAAAAAAAGAGAGAGGAATATTCAACCAAATGTGATTTAGGCTTATTGGGATAGAAAATATGGAGAATAATGGGGTCGGTAATCGAGTCGATAGGGTGCATTAACTCTCGAGTAAAAATCGAGAATTGATACCGTGAGGTGTCAAGAGGCGAATCATATAGAGTGTAAGATAAATCGCGCCGGTTGACGGTCGACACGATTTTTCTATTAGCTCGCCTTTCTCGATATACCGCGTGTACGTACTCTATGTACGTACAGTGGCGCGTACCAGTGGCGAAATGAGAAAATGGACATAAGAATAGGACGGAGCGAGGCTGTATTGTGGGGCAGGTCTGCTGTCGATCAAATTCGAAAGCGGGAAATGTATGGAAAACAAAAAAAAAAAGGAAAAAAAAGGATGGTCGAGTGGGAACAGGTGGAAAGTGTGTGTGTGTGTGTGTGTGGTGAAGGAGGCGAGTGCGCGTTCATCGGAACGAGGTCGGACGAGTTTCCACTCGGTCACTTCATCAACGCAGAGCCAACTAAACTGTCAATCGCAAAACCACTACCGCGTCAAACCCTTTCGACGACATCTAGATTCTCGTCGATAAACGGTAAGGCACTTGAGCCATCGATCCCTCGATTCGCGCTCCCGCGCTTCACACGACTTCTCGAAAATTCGATTCGCGCCACGACCGATTACCTCCTCGCCTTTCCATCATGCACACGCGCATGCGTGGAACGTGATAAACCGAGAGAAACGCACGTTTCGTCGCTACGTAATATTTTCCTTCGTTTCACGCGTGATTCCAGACCCAAAGAATTCTTGACGAGCCCTTCTGCCTAAAAAGAAAGAAAAGAAAGAAAGAAAGAAAGAAAAAGTAGCTTTCTTCGATCGATGATTCGTTCGTTAACATCCGACTCCTCGGTTACGAGAGACGATTGGAAACGAAAAATAGAAATTGTACACCGTTGGAGAGGAAGAACCCCTCGAGAAGAAGGTGGGCCAGAAGATGAAAGAGCCGGTAAAGAGTTCTCTCTAGTAGATATAGAGAGGAATTGCTCGCGGTCATTCTTCGCCGTAATTACCGAACAGATAAGAGAATGAAACACGACGAAAAGAACGGAAAGCAAAGCTGTGGAGAGCGACGAGAAGGAGGAGAAGGAGGAAGCCGAGCAAAGTGGTAAGAGAAAAATCTTCTTCGGTCCTCTTCGAGAATAATGCACGCACCCAGGGGACCTGGCTTTCAGGAAAATGCTGATTGCTTCTCTCTCTCTCTCTCTCTCTCTCCATCTCCACCGCCACGCCCCCTCTATCACCTCTCCCTCCGTTAACTCTTCGCGATTTCTACTATCGCCGATTCTCTTCTTCTCCTTCTTCCCTATTCCCTACTCCCTTTCTCGGCCTCTTTCCTTCTCTCTCTTCGTCGTCGGTACCTTATCGATACTGTTTCACTTGTTCTCTCATCTCCAGGGACACCCGCATATCTATCCGCGTATAAAGACGATTCTCTGGAACGATGTATGAATTGTACTGTGAAAAATGGAAATCTCGTGGAGTATATATATATATATAGTATATACGGAATATTGAGAAATTTTGAGAATGCATGAGAAGAGATTTTGGATGTATGGTCGAAGCAACTGACTGGATGATCGAAGAAGAGAGTTAATGAGTAAATGCAAGATAATAAATAAGTAAGATATAATATAATAAGACGAATAATTTTAAGACTAATAGATATACAATAGATAGATAGAAGGAGATGTAAATTCTAAATTTTAATTTCTCGACTGTTCTTTCTGATGTTAACGTAGAAAATCTCGTGGAGTGTATATGGAAAACATTGAAAAATTTTGAGAATGCATGAGAAGAGATTTTAAATGCACGGTTGAAGCGACTGGATGATCGAGGGAGAGAGATAACGAGTAAATGCAAGGTAATAAATAAGTATAAGGTAATAAAAGGAATAATTTTAAAGACCGATGTATAATAGATGTACGAGAGAGGAGACGTAAATTCTAAATTTTAATTTCTTGACCGGTTTTTGTTTCTCGTTGTTAACGTTCATCCATGTTTCCAGGTCAGAAAGATCGTAAACTAGCCAAAGGCTATTTCTTGGGATTAAAGACTTGGCTAAGATTAATCAATAACACGGCTTGTTAAAGCCATGTTCCCGGGGCATGATTGCAATTTGCATTACTACGTTCTTTTGCAGATTTCAAAAATTGCCTCCTGTTGACCGAATTTTTACCGACTAATCATCGAAATTTTCTTCAAAACTTAGAATCTATTTTTTAGACCTATTTTATTATTATTATCAAATAATTTTTAAATAAGCAAGCTCGAACAAGTGTTGTGTTATTAATCCATTTTTTTTGTGTTTGAATCTGAAATATAATAATCTTTCGAATTTACACATAGTATTTATACCGACAATTCGTATAAATCAGATAGATGAAAAACGATCGAGCAATGGAAGATGGATGATGGAAAAGTGTGTACATTAGAACGGACGAAAGCCAAATGAAGTTTATCTCGAGGAAGCAACCCTCTTGAAGGCGACGACGAGCGTCGCAGATTCCAATCTTCTCTCTATTCTCTTCGTCATCGGTGATCTATCGATTGCACGAGTTCTCGCAGATTCTTCGTCGCCGTTCTCTTTCTCTCTCTCCCCCTCTCCCTCCCTCCCTCTCTCTCTCTCTCTCTCTCTCTCTTACGTTACGTACGTACTCGTACGTACGTACG